CACACACACACACACAGATACAATGGGCAGAAACTAGAAAACATCTTTTAAGTCTATCTACCTCCTCTCTGATTTGTTTTCCTCCTCTCTCTCTTCATGTTCATATTGCTCACGAGTCAGATTGGCTTAGACGTCTTTGCTGGTTTCCTCAGCCTAACTGTGCATCCGCTCGTCTAAATACAGATTGCAAATCAAAATAATTACATCTTTTAATGGTCCACCTGAAAAAGATTCAGGGTCTATGTTTTGAATAAACGTCAGCCCTGCATTTTGGCAACATTCATCATGTCCACCATAATTGTCAGTTTCCAGGAAAGTCCTTACTGTGTGTTTCTCCCTATTCCAGCTGCAGCAAATATAATAATGTTATAACTGCTCTCAATGACAGTTCTCACTTTCTTGGAGTTAGGAGCTTTTTGAGTGACACTGCTGACATGTATCTATTGATAAATGGGGGAGTGTTTGTGCAGCTGCTGAAGGCTTATGGTCTTACAGAACAGAGCCGGGTTGTGTTTGCCGACACAGGAAGCTGCGGTAGCACGATTGAATCGACCCAGAGTGTACTGTGGGATTTAGCAACCAGAGTCTATGTTCCCTTATCAGCGAGGAGCTGTGTGTGGAGTTGCATGATTTGTACTTGCCAACCTCTGGCTGTATGTGTACATTTTATTCTGTTGTACTTCCTCGAGTCCTAACAGTCTCGTCACTCTCTGCAGGTCCACAACGTCTCCTTCTCTTTTGAACTGATGCAGGATGGAGGTCTGGAGAGACCAAAGCCCCGACCAGAGGGTAGGATGCACATTTAACTAGGGTTGTTTCGATAAAAAAAATGTTCTGGGTATCTCTGTTACTGAATTTGATCCATACTCACCTAAATGTTGACTAAAAATGTAGCTCCCACATTTAAATAACAGGCTTACCTTATTATTAATAAGATATTTGATCAAACGGTTGAAGGTCCTGATTCCAAACTATAAAGTTATATAAGTTATTTAAGTTAAATAAGCTTAAAGACCCCCTCCAGACATGTATTAAGACGTATATACAAATAATCAGCTTGGAACAATAATGTGTGTAATGATAATTTCCACATTAAGGAGGCATCTACTGTTTCTGCATCATTAAAAATGTTCAGAATCTATGAATATGCAAATGATGTTACCCTGATCTTTGCTAATAAGAGAGAAAGGAGAGATTACAGCTTTGTTATTGTTGAGCTTAGTGGATTTTGCCAACACAGGTGTTATAACAGTGTATATGATCAATGCAAACAAATCATTTTTCACAGTCACTCGCATATGGGCCAGAATGCTCTCAGTGTACAGGCCGGTTGTCATTAAGGAGAGCTTTGCCAATGTCAATATGCTTTTCATAACTTTGGCAAAAAAAGTTAACTGTTTGCTTTAACAAAGTTCTGGCTAACAGTTCAAGGAACATGGACAGCCATTCATTGTCAGATCTTAATTAAAGAATAGGTTTTCTAATTAGTGGAAACAGAAAGTGCTGCTTTTTATATTTAAAAATCAACCACATCACTAATCATACAGTGAAATCACACACCCTCCATGACTGCAAAGGGCTGCATATGTTTCGCTGTTAACTCCCCCAGTGCTTTAGTTATGGGTTTTGCCCTATCTTAATCTGCATGAAAGCTGTTTAAATGCTGCAGGGAGGAGTTGCTGTTTCCTACCAGACCTTCTCCTCCTTGAGCTGTCAATGGACAAACTGCGGTTCATATTGGAAGTATTAACGCTAGCATAAGCCACACGTGTTGCACAATGCTTGCACACAGTCGCTGTTTTATCCACCACTTTTTCCCAGTTATGTCTTAGGGAACGCTAAATTGCTCCTGTATTGCTCCCATACAGCAGACTGAAACAATGCTGCCGGGTCCTCTGTCCACATTTCCAAGACAGACTGCTGCACACTACATGTGCCAACTGAGAAGTTTCAATGAGTTACAGGCATGAGGCTGACTTCCCTATAATAACTAATCATTTTTCTGCTTGTGCCTTTTTAAAAATTCAAATGAACTGAACATTACCTGCTCGCCAAGACCCGTGACTAGCAAACAGAATGGTTTGGATTTTTTTTTTTTTACTTGAACGGTCCTATCCCTAGATGTAGAGGTCCCTACAATGAACACATGTATGCTTTGATTTTAGTCAGTACACTGAATAGTGACAGGAGAACATTGCCATATATTTAATCATTTCTTCCCACTGAAGTTAGGAAATTCTTAGCAGAGTAGTTATATAAGTTACTTGTAGGTCTAGTAGGGTTCATTGTTGAATAAGCTAAAGATTCTGAAATATTTGCATTGTGTCTCAAATGGATTTCCAGTACTCATATTTCACCAACCGTAGTACAACCTTGTTTGCTAAACAAAGATTTGCCCTGTGGATACAGTTCCATTAAGCTCTAGAGAAGCAGGAATGTGGCAGCCGTAGTACAGTCTGCAGCTGTACAGACAAGGTCTAAACTCTCACTGGATGTATGTCTGTAAATAACTCTTCTATTCTCTCACTTTCTTCTTTCTTTTTTTTCCAGATATAGTGAACTGTGACCTTAAATCGACACTGCGCGTCCTCTACAACCTCTTCACCAGGTACCGGAACGTTGACTGAGCACCACGTATAACAAGAGGGAACACTTTATACTATGGTCCACATGATAAAGCTTAACAATATGTTATTCCTTCTATTTGTTGTAGAAATCTATTTTTATCTGAATGCATGCATCACATTTTGTCCCTGTACCAAACACAAATCTTGTATTTTTACTTTATTTTTATTCCAGCAGTGACATTTGGCTTGTGTGCCACAAAATGCTTGATTTTTAAAAAATTGTAAATTGGGCATTGCTATACAGTCCTACAGACATATATGAACTAAATAAGATAGCCATTAACTATTAATGTTTAGTTATGTCAGAGAGGTAATTCTGTAATGATTTCTGTCACCCTGCATTGAAAGCATGAAGGGGAGATTGAACAACGCTTGTATCTTTTAATCCAGAAAAGAAAAAGTTGAACTGTATTTATTGTACATTTTGATACACTTGGTCTTACTTTTCCAAGCTATTTCATTTTCTTCTTTCTCCTCTTGATTATGTCATTCATACGTAAGTGCCTTTATTTAAACATGTGAACACCGTACACAGTCCCAGTACTTAATATCGGGATGCATGTGCTCCCCAGTTGTCTTAACGCTCCACATTTCCTTTGCATGTGTGGAGGAACATTTGAAATATTTGACCAAAGCTCTGTTGTATTCACACTGTAAAACACATAAAGGCTTTACTCAGCAGCCACTGGCTTTCTTGTGTTTTGTATTGTAACATGTGTCTTATTTTTAATTGGGGTACATCAACATTCTATAATCAGCTTTTTGTGGTTTAATACATTATATACATCATATTTTTAATACACATTTCACTCCTTTCTGCAAGACTAATTCATTTTGACTGAATATATTAAATGTACGCTGTGTTCTACTTTTAAGGCAGTCTCACTTCAAACTGTGGTTCAAGCTGCCAACACGTTTGCTCTAATGCATCTATTTATGTTTCAATGCATTACATTCAATGAATCATTCAGTCCCTGAATGTGGCTGCATTTTTTTGCACCTCAAAGAAAGCAGAAAGGAATGCTTCTCCAACAAAACAAACATTGGGGTCAGATTTGGTCCAATTTTCCCGGCACAGATAGACAAGTGAACCTCCACAACAATTTTCTTTCTAGCTAAATGGAGATAGCTGTGTAAAAGCTCTCTGAATTGGAGCTGACCCCAACCCCAAAAATAGATAGGACAGTTACCGAATGGATGAAAAGGTTCGTTTTTCCTCACACATTCCACAATAGCTTTTGAAAAGAAAGGGTGGGAAATGGGTGTGTATATGCTGAGTGTGTGTGTGTTGATGTATTATTAATTATACAGTGGTATTGCAGTATTCTCTGCTGATACCCACGCACTTAGATTCAGATGTTGCAGTTAATTGTGTTTGTATTTTGTGTATGGTCCTTAACATATGAAATGACAGTTTGTGAACTAAGGTGAGAGCATTGTATAGGGTTTAATTTAATCTTCAGTCGACATTTTGTGAGAGAGTGTTGAAGAGCCCTCCGATGTAAGCCTGAGCAGCAGCGTTTTGTTTGTGCAGCATTCAATTACACCTCCAAGAAACACTCAAAACCTCCATAGTTTGGTATGTGAAGAGAGAAAAGATCTATAGGCACATAATACATTATGTGTGTGTCAACTAAATGCCTGAAGCGCACTGTAACATTTGGTACGAGTAACAGTATCTGTGATGATTGCCCTCAGATGCTCTCATGTCAGTTGCAACAGATCCTGAGGGATGTGAAACCATGTTATGATCATTTCCTCTCCGCTCGCTCCCTCGCCCAGGGAACAATTCAGCTGCTCCAGTTATTACCTTGTTACATTATTGTTATTGCATTATTGTTACATTGTCGCTCTGTGCGTGGGTCACATGGGGACACAGAGCCGCATTCCTCTGATTGAAGACACCACAGTAATGGAGAAATGGAGCGCTGCGTCAGAGATGGGAATGTTAGTTAAAAAAGTTTAATCAGTCACAAGAGTAAGGGTAGATGTAATTACAGTCTATTATGTAATGTTTTAGCTTAATAGCTTTGAAGCTGTCTGCGTTTAACAAGAGACCAAAGTTTTGGTACACTTACACACTTTATTACCTAAAGTTAGATGACAGTGTGTATGATTCAGACCCTCGAGGGAGAAACTACAGTGGCCGCAAAACAGGCAAAAAACACGAACGGTCCTACCTAGAGCCAGTGTTTGGTTTGTCCGTTCTGGGCTACTGTAGAAACACGGCGGTTTAACATGGCGACCTGGCTTATTCTAAGGTAACAAAGACACAATGGTTCTTATTTTCAGGTGATTATACACTAATGAAAGCATGCATGTGAACATTCTATTCAATATCTGCCAGTAGATCCTCCTAAATGTTATACACTAGACCTTTAAAGCTGCACTAATCAATGATATGAACAATGGGTCAAATGACTGATGTGAAATAGGGTCTCAGTGTCAGGCTCAAACACAGTTATCACCCAACTCTGCAGTTTGTCTCAGCTCTAAAGAGCATTTTAGCATTTTTTAGCCCATTGTTTTGGTTCATTCTCACTGCTCTCAGTAGCAAGCAGCTTTTTTCAGCATAGAAACTCTGATAAACCTACTGTATGCTACCTGCCTAGCACCAAACAGCAAACTGAGTTAGCAACAAGCTGGTGAACACAGTAAAACATTTAACTGCTAAAAGCTAGATATTTCTCTCATTAGTTGGAGACGTAAATAGAGCTTTCATTTGTCAGGTTGACAGTAACACAACACCAATGAATGCTAATGCTGTAAGCTGGATGGACAACTACAGCTAACTAAAGTCTGAGGAAGAACAAAGTCTGGCATTTCAATGGTTGATTGTCCCATTAGGCACCAGTGTTAACTGTATCACAACACACAACCTCCAGCAGGTCCTCTGTAGCTTGTCCTGACCTCTGACCTCTTTATCAATCAGGGCAAGAAAAAAGACTGTTTTCCTTGTGAGGATCAATAAAGTATCACATTATTATATTATGTGGCATTAGATGAAAGCCTCGGCCATATAGCCCAATAATGTTTTGCTGGCACTCCACTTAGGTAATGTTACAAAGTAGAGCAGGATTGCTTCATCAGTGATAAGTGTATCGATGTTATATGTTTATGCGCTGACATGTCTTCCTTTCCCGGTATTTCTCCTGTATCCTCCAGTCTTTAGCATAAATATCTCAGCCGAAACTGTATGACAATATGACTTTGCCATTCTGAGAAGAGACAGAGGGAGCAACAGAAACAGGGAGACAGGGAGGAGGAGGTATTATCAGATCAGACTTATACAGTATATCTTAGCATATGTTCATGTGTGTATGTGCTCCCCTTACTACTAGTTCTCTCACATCAAGAGCTCAGTAATACCACAGTGTAAAAATACCCTGTTACAAGTAAAATATTCTTTAAGTACTTAAGGTTAAATTATTATTATTATTAGTCATTATGCAAAAGGTCTCATTTAAAAAAATATATATATATGGGCTCATGTCTGGCCAGTCCCTTGGCTGCATGTCATTCCCTTCTCTCTGTCCCCTGGCTTTCCTGTCTACCTCTACTGTGCTGTCAAATAAAGCAAAATTTAAAAGAAGTAAAAAGAAGTAGAGAAAAAACTAGCAGAAAATGGAAATACTAAAGTAAAATACAAGTACCTCAAAATTCTATATAAGTACAGTACTTGAGTAAATGTATTTAGTTACATTCCTACACTGACATTCAGTGAGTACATGTGGACTAGTACCCTGTACTGGATTTGATCAAGCTATATCAATCTTATATTGATATGACATTTACATGGAACGTAAAGAAACGTGGTTATTAATCTCCATATGTACCTTATTCTAACGTTATTGTATTATTCTGATCAGTAGCCAGGTTTGTGATTGTTTGCATGCAGGCCTCGCATCTCAGTGACCTCAGTAGTTGAGGATGTTTAGTTCCTGGCTGTCTGGACTGCATTTACCACTCAGCTAGATTTGAGTTGTCTGTCTGATCACCACAGGGTTCTTCCACCATTTTTAAAGGCAAATTCAATGTTTTTCAGACCTTCTTGAGACTTCAACAAATATCATTTAAGACCCAAAAAATGTCAATTTATATGATAGAAAAGCGTGATTTTATTAAGTCCTAACATATGGCATCATTCCACTTGAATGAATGGTGCCAGGTCATCCTGTGAAGAACCCAAAACAACTCAGCCCTTTGTGTTTCTAGTGACGACACAAAACTGCTCAATGCAGACTGTTGAGAAGCTGCAAGGGAGTCAGACAACATTTTCGGTGCCTTTTCTGCAATTAATGCAGGCACTGACATAGCCCTACTAGCTGCATACCGCTGGTCTACCATCTTTTTCATTAGTTTTGCACAGATTTCCGAATTTAGACCTGCCTGGTGCTTGATTGAAAGTTAAGGGATCACCAAAGTGATTACAATTCATCCTGAGAGGAACATAAATGTTTGTAAAGCACTTAATGGCAATCTATCCAAAAGTTGTCGAGACATTTTACTCAAAACCACAAATGCCAAAGTTATGGTGGCACTAGAGGAAATATCAGGGGACCACCAACATCATTTGGATTTATCCTCTGGGGACCATGAATGTCTGTACAGAATTTCATGAGAATCCATCCAGTATTTTTTGGATATTTCAGTTGGGACCAAAGTGGTGGATCAACCAAGATACCAACATTGGCAATGTTGGTAGCATGGGTAAAAAAGTAGTGATAGGCTGTTTACATACCACAGTACCCAGGTTTCTATTCACTCCAGCTAGCATATTTATGTTTCTCAGAACCAGGAAAAGGGCTTAGCCAGGAGCCAGCAACCATGATATGATGTAATCTTACATGTGCAAACATACTGTATAACTGGAATACCAAATAGCCGATAATAACTGGGATACAACGGCACATGTAAACACACTCAGTCCACTCAGTTGCTCTTCGATCGCCGGCTGCTGTATATACTGACTTTCACTAACTCAGCGATTTATGTAAAATGCTGCACATTTTAGTCAACTTCATATCAGGGAAAACAGATATGGTTGGTATCAGCCTTCTCAAAAGGCGAATAAGCATATTACCCAAAATGTTGAACCAGTGCTGTCGTACTTGAGTCTGAGACCGGACTCAAGAACTTTTTTCTATTGTCTCGGACTTGTGCACTCGTTGGTATTTGCACTCGGACTTCTCTCAGCCAATGGTCTCATTAAATATGCTAGTCCAGCAATATATAGTTATTTTAACTTCATCCTTCAAACCTTCAAACCATTGCTGAACATGTGCAGGGGATTTACTTTCTACTTGTCATGAATGTGAATCCGCCCGATCCCTAATGATCCCATGACCCTAGGAATGTTGGTCAGTAATTTCGTGATTATCCTAAAAACAGCTGCTAGTTTCCAAGGAATGTCTTGCACTTGTTGGTTTTTGCACTTTTACTTGTCTCAGCCATCTTCTTAAATATTCTAGTTGGTCTCGACGAGTGCAATATATAGTTATTTTTCTGAAGTAACTTCCTCCTTTGAAACAAAACCTTGATGAAACACACTTCAAAAAACGGGTATTGCTTTAATTCAAAATCCATCTAGAACAGGCACTGACAGCGCCAATCAATGTGACCTCCAATCGTATGCCTGCAGAAACCCATCTCACTGGCAATGGCATTCTTCTATTTCTGTC